GCAAGAACACAGAACTTATTCTAATTAGACAGCAACAGAATCTTTTTTTTTTTTTTTTTAATGTCTTGTGGTTTTCTGTTTTTCTGTCTTGGCTGTTATCTCTGAAGGTGGTTACAGAGAGAATCCAGGAGATAGCCCTTGCTTCTGAAGTTTGCGCTGTTTTAAGGACTTCCCAGAAACATCTGTTGAGTTCCTTACCAAGGAAGCCCTAGGCGTTCAAGGGAAAGTGGAGGAGACTGTGGTTTACAAGGGAGCCACATCTGTTTGGTATTCTCCCATCGGGGAAAGCTGGACTTCTGGACCGGCATGGGTCTCCTTGTTAAACTTGAATCTAGCAACAGATGAAAGCCTTTCTTAGTGTTTCAATGGCAGAGACCAACAGCCGTTTATATCCTTTAATTCCTAACTCAGGGTGAAGCCTTCACAGCTGTTGGTATTTTCCGGTTCCATTTCCTTGGATCACAGTGGCGAGGAAGTGAAGTTTGACCCCCCTCCCAGTCCCCAGGCAGGAACACAGAAAGATGCCCAGGATTGAAAGCTGAAAATTCTAAGCAGAAGTCCCCTTTTCTTGCCCTCCCAGAGATCTGCTGTTTGCCTAGAATTCTTTTTAATGTTATCCGGACAGACATCTTGATGGTTTCCATGATAATGAGTCATGACAGCGCAAAGATCAAAAGGAATAAAAGTAGGCTAGAATCAGGGGGAGGAAGAAGAGGCTGAAATGGAGTGTAGAAGAGAAAGTGGCTCCTAAAAGTAGGTCCAAAAGACACCAACAACATCTGAGAGCAAATCACAGAGAGACGTGGGATGCTGATGAATATCTTCATAGTGATGGGGGATGCTGGTCCTTTTTAATCGACTCCTAACATTTCACCTTGGAAAAGCTAAACAGAAAACGAAACAAGGTAGAAACAAGGTGCAGAAAGTAACCAAGAATGTTGACAAAGAGATTCAGAGACATGTGTTACACTTGCTTTGTCCATCAGTGCCATAAACATATTGGGACTTGAAAAGATTATTTTGCATCCACCTGTTCATCCATCCAATCATTTATACGGTAAGAGGACTGGACTTTGTGCTGGGATATTCAAATGCATAGGATGTTTCCTATAATTTTAAGGGGTTCACATTCTAATGGGTGAAAGCTTCAATGGAGGACATAGCTCTCAGCTGGGCCTCCAAGGATGCTCAAGGATTGCCTAGAMAGAGAAGTGGATGGTTATAGAGAGAGCATGGGGCAAAAACCAGAATAGGAAACTGAATGCTTCCGTGGGAAGAACAAGAATTCTGGGTGGTTACAATTAACGGAAGAGTGGTATGTGTTTATGAAAACTGAAGGTTCATAAGGAACTCAAACAGCTCATCAGAAATAACCCAATTAAAGGGCTGGGGATATAGCTCAGTTGGTAGAGTGCTTGCCTTTCATGCACAAGGCCCTGGGTTCAATCCCCAGCACCACCAAAAAAAAAAAAAAAAAAGAAAGAACTCAATTAAAAATACCCAAAGGAGCCTGTAGTCCCAGCAACTAAGAAGGGCACAGGATGACAGGATGAGGATCACAAGTCCAAAACCAACCTCAGCAACTTAGCAAGTCCCTAAACAACTTAGCAGAGACCCTGTCTCAAAATTTTTAAAAAAAGGGCTGGGGATGTGGCTCATTGGTTAAGTACCCTGGATTCAATCCCCAGTACCAAATAAATAAATAAATAAATAGAAATTTTAAAAACAATAATAAATAAAAATACACAAAGTATCTGTCTGAATAAACTCTTCTAAAAACAAGACTTGCAAATGGCCAACAGGTATATGAGTGGATAATGAAAACCATGGTGTATGCATAAAGTCGTATATATCCAGTAGATGAATGGATAAAAAAATGTAGCATATATACACAATGGAATACTATTCAGTCTTTGAAAGGAAGAAAATCCTGTCATTTATGGATGAACCTAGAGATTATGTTAAGTAAAAAAAAAAAAAAAAAAAAGTCAGGCTCAGAAAGACAAATAACATATGATCTTATTTATATATGAAATCCAAAAAAGTTTAATTTGTAAGAGTAGAGTAGAATGGGTGCTACCAGGGGTTGGGGAAGGGGTAGCTGGGGAGATGTTTGTCAAGGGACACAAAATTTCAGTTAGCTAAAAGGATTAAGTTCTTGAGATCACTTGTACAACACAGTGACTATAGTCTTTTTTTGTTGTTGTTCTAATTAATTACACATGACAATGAATGCATTTTGACACAATGTATACAAATGGAGCACAACTTCTCATTCCTCTGGCTGTACAAGGTGCTGAATCACACCACTAATATAATCATACATGCATATGGCATAATAGCATCTGTCTCATTCTACTGTCCTTCCCATCCCCACTACCCCATCCCTTCCCTCACTCCCCTCTGCACAATCCAAGTGTTTTTTGCTGTGTTTTGTTTTTTCTTTTTTCCTTTTTTTAAATTAATTTATTTATTTTTTATTATTTCTTACTTACATCACAATAGAGTGCATTACATTCCTAATTTTTTTGCATTGCAATTCTTAATACACCTTTATACACAATTTATCAAATCTCTGTTTTGTTTTTTAAATACAGGTTTTTAGGTCTCACCTAAGAGATTCTGATTTAGTTGTTAAAGGGAAGGATCAAGAATTTGTATTTTGAACAGAAGGCCCAAGTAATTCTGACATAATAAAAGTTTGATGACTCTAACTTATATAGCTTAATGTTTCCGAAAAGGTGATGACAATCTTTCTTCTGTTTTTTAAAATAAAGATACTGGGTCAAATTAGGAAACACCACATACTAAAGTATTCTCTTCTTGGAAATTTATAATGCACAGCGACATATTAAAAGTCCTGTGGTAAAGAAATCAATTTCACTCAGGATTTCCCAGATGTATTTTTCCATGGGGGTGGGGTGGGCGAATCATAGTAAAAGCTCTCAGAATACCAGTGTGCTCTGGACCACGGACTAGATAGAACTGAAACAAAGGAGTCGACTTGTTCCCTGAGCATACTGAATAAGGAAATGTCTAGAAAAAGAAAGCAAAGTCAGTGACTCTGGGGGACATGGAGGCATCCACCCATTTCCTCCGAAGTCTAAAACCTCCTATGATGCCCTGTTTTCCAAGCAGACAGCCAGGAGCTGCTTTGCTCTCAAGTAACACACATGGCTCTTCATTGCAATTCCTGTTCAGCAATGCTATCTGGTAACCACAGCTGCCAGGGAGAAGGAGTGCCCAAAGTTCAAAGTATCCAGGAGCAGGCACAGGGGAAGGACCAAAGAGGARGTATCTTTGTGCACATTTATCTATCTTTATTATTATCATATGTTCTGCTCAGAGCTTTGCCCATTGTTTCTAAGTTTTCTGGAAGAGGAAAATTCCTCCCGGCACTCTAAGTAGCCTCTGGCAGTCAATGAAAGTACAAAAAGACAAGAGCCTGAGGAATTCCCATCCCTCCCAGGTGCCCAGAGGAGTTTTTTTTTAATCTACCTTCTGTGCCTCTATGCACACTACCATACAGTCCACCTCCTTCCTGCTTACGAGAGACAAGAGATAAAGAGGGAATTGGAAAAGCCACAGCAACAGGATTCTGACAAATCGGTTTGTGTGCTGAATATTTCAAGATGTACCATACGACACCAATCAATTTATACACATTTTTTTTTTTTGGTATAAACTTAATTACTTCCATGTGGCCCTTCTCAACTTTCCACATGCCTCATGGGGACACCCCCCATCTAAAAGTGATTTCAACAGTATGCTTCAAATACTTTTTTTAAAAAAATGCCTCAGTCATCTCAGAGCTTTTCAAGAAGGCTTTCTAATAGCACAATATTTATTCAATCATTCCAGAAATATTTCCTGAGAGCCCCCACAGGCTTCAGGACACTGTACTAGGCACTGCAGATATGATAATGGAAGTAGAGTATTGTTCATTCCTGTTGAGCCCCAGGAATAAAACACTGAATTTTAAATTTAGCCCACCAATGTTCCACAGCAGAAAGAAATGCAAGAGACAGAGAAGGTTTGGTCCTTCCTCTTAAGTTTCATGGCTTATAGTACAAAACAAACCAAAGCATTTGCATTTCAAGAGTTCTGGCAGGTCCAGCAGCTATGCAAGGGTTGGAGTTAACAGTGCAGCTTGGAATTAATAAGTTATGATAGGAGAGGGAGCAGAATGCCAGGATCTTCATTTCCCCAAAATGTGAACCCCTATTTGTTTGCTTCCCAAACAAATTCATGGATTCCCACACTGGAGCTTATTAATCCTAAAAGATAAATATTGCCAGTAATGCACCAGAGTCAATATAACCTTAAGTAGTCAATCAATCAAGAAACAAAAATCTTACCAAGATAACTGGGTAAGTGTGGAGTCTAGTCCTAAGAAAGCCAATAAGATCAAATCTAACATTGGATCAGATTTCTCCAGCATGTGACGCAAGTACCACTGGGGGCCACAAAATAATTGTCAGTGCTTCATAAATGATTTTTTTAAATTTCAATAAGGTTCTTAGGTATGGAGAAAAAAATTACAGGTAGAATTTGAGAAGTTGGGCATCATGGTAAGTGCCAATTTCAATAAGGTTCTTAGGTATGGAGAAAAAAAATTACAGGTTTATGACTGATAGAATTCGAGAAGCTGGGCATCATGGTGAGTGCCGTAATCCCAGTGACTTGAGAGGCTGAGGCAGAAGGATCACAAGTTCAAGGCCAGCTTCAGCAATTTAGTGAGGCCCTATGCAACTTAGTGAGACCCTATCTCAAAACCAAAGCTAAAAAGGGCTGGGGATATGACTCAGAGCCCCTKGGTTCAATCTCCAAACAGAAAAAAGAAAAGATAAAAATAGAATTGGGGGAAACACTGCCATGGGTATTGTCCAGCGTCACAGGCAGCTGGGGAGAATCCCCTTCTGCACACTTTTTGAGCTTGGGTAGGGATAGGTATCAAAAAAATAAACAAATACAGCCCAAGAAGCTGGTCATAGACTTACCCACACATGTTGGAAATATATCCTCATTATTGATCTGGACCTCGATCCAATCCATAAGAAGGTTCATGTACTGGGGAGCTGGCAATGCAGTCGGTTTCTTATACTTAAGGTCATCCTGCCACCGATACTCATATTTGGGGCCCCCTGACATCACAGGGCAGGTCTGCTCGGTACAGAATTCACAGATGGTGCCATAGATGAGGTTGATACGATTGAAGAAGTCCACCACGTGCACCGCCACCCAGTCATTCTGGTCTTCCCCACTAGGCAGCTGCACGGCTGCCTTCAGGTCCACGCCTGAGTTGAGGGACGCCTGAGCCCGCTTGTGCAGCTCAAACCTCTGTGTGCCAGGTTCAAATTTTCTCTTGGGCCGAAAGGTCTTGTCCTTGTTGAATACCTGCTTCAGGGCTATAGACATGGTTTCCTCCTTCTCTTCCTTTCTTTGACAGGAAGCAAAAAGGCACTTGGAACTTTTCAGTGAGAGATCACAGCCCAACAGCGTTTTCCACTGCCAGCCTTCTGGCCCCAGCCTTGCAGCCTCCAACTTATAATCTCTCTTAAATGGCCCCTCCCATCTTCTTCTTCAGTGTTATCCAAGGGAACTTCATGTTCCTTCCTAAAGGCAGAAGAGAAGGGAATTTGTGAGTGGTCTGTTTGCATTTAAGAAATGACAGAGCAGGGCATGTTGGCACACATCCGTAATTCCAGTGACTCAGGAGGCTGAGGCAGGAGGATCACGAGTTCAAAGCCAGCCTCAGCAACTTAGCAAGACCCTAAGCAACTAAGTGAGACCCTGTCTCAAAATTAAAAATAAAAAGGTCTGGGTATGTGGCTCTTTGATTAAGCACCCCTGGGTTCAATCCCTGGAAAGAGAGAAAGAAAGAAAGAAAGGAGGAAGAAAAGGAGAGAGAAGGAGGGAAGGAAGGAAGAACCGATGAACGAACAGAGGCTTAGGCACCATTTCCTGGCTGTGGGGCTTCTATTTAGGTATTTAGACAGGAAGTTAAACCTGTAAATCTGCACTGGTGCAGTGAACCATACAAATGACTATAGAAGAAAAGGTATCACTTTCTTCCTTCTCCACCTTTGTCAAATCTCTGCTGGCTCTTCTCTGGGTCAATGGGCCTCTCTAAGGTAGCAAGGGCAAGTGTGTGGGCCAATGACCTTTATAGTCTCCTTTTCAGAGCTTCCTCCATTGCCCCTCCTGAGTAAGTATATCATTACTCCTCCTTTTCCAGGAAGAGATGATCAGAGCAGGAATGGCTATCTCACCTAGCTGGCTAATCAGAATTTCTCTCCAGGGAATTTGGAATCAAATTACAAATTCCAAATTCCAACTTTTGTTGGATATGATTCATGAAAGGTAATGAAAACTGGGTCTGGTTGAGCCCTATTTGGACCATGTGTAGTGAAGTTGAGAAAGATGAACTGTAAAACCAAAGAGGAAGAAAGCAGAGAAGAGAAGAAAGGAAGAGGGGGAGGAGGTGGTGAGAGAAATAGTTATTAACACTCAGAGACACAGATAAAAGATCAAAAGGACTTAGGGAGAAGAGAAAAAGGAGACAGACAATGAGAAAGGAAAAGTGGTTTCTTTAGTCTCAAATAATCTAGGAAGTGGTTCTAAATCCTCTTGAAGCTTAGCTGTGCTTCCTGCCTTTGGGATCCATTTGTTTTTCCTACATTAGTCCAATAAATCCCTTATTTTAATTCAGCTAACTTGAGTGAATTTTGTTTTTCTCCAACAATTCTTAATTATGACAGGATGTCACCCCTACAATATGCCACTTTTTTATATTCTTAATATCATAGCCTAGCTAGCTAGCACTTTGCCACAGAGTTGTCCAATAGAACTTTCAATGATAGTGTGCAAAAGTTATACATACACACACACACACAACACACACACACACACACACACACATATATATTTGTGCAATACGGTATAGCTAATAGTCACATGTGTCTAATGAGTAATTGGATTGTGGCTGTGTTACCTTTTACTGCATCTTAATTAGCTTAAATGTAAACAGGCCCATGTGGCTACTGGCTACCATATTGGATGGAACAACTTTTAAATATTCAAGGTTCTCTTCTCCAATTGTCTCATTTGACCCTCAAAAAATTAAGTGAAGTTTATCGATTTATAGCAGCTACAGTAAATTTAGAGCAGGTATTCTTCTTCCTGAATCTCTAAGAAATAAAATTACTTGCCTAACGAGGTTCTACAACTAGTAGAGGACAGAGTTGGGACTGAAATTCTTTCATTGACCCCTAGGAAATGCTCTTTCCATGTGACCTGATTTTATAAAAAGTGACATCTTTCTTTTTTTTTTTTATTAGTTGCTCATGACAATACAATGATCTTGACATATCATACATTTGATTCAAATGGGGTATGAATTCTCATTTTTCCATGTAAAGTGATATCTTTCAACCTGCCTTCAACCTGCTGGTTCATGAATATCCCTTTAGCCAGAGCTTTATCTCTTTTTACCTTTTATTCACACATTCCCCCCAAAGACTACTAGTTTAAAGTGCTGGAGGTGAGAGCTCCCACCCACAGGTCATACTCTTAACAGATTCAGAAGAGCCCATCATGGAATCTATTTAAAAGGACTTGAAGCACAATCCCACTGAACTGCTTTATTCCCACCTGGAATGGATTCTGTTGTCCCATAATCAAGTGGCCTGGTGATGCATTTGATCTTAAGTTATTAAGGCAAAAAAATATTCCTGAGAAATCTCCATTCCCTCCTACAGATGCTGCTCTTTGCTCAGAACTGCTGGCCAGACTGCTGAGTGGCTCCTTGCACTCTCTCTACCTGCTCACTTCCTCTCTCCCCACCCTGCCATCTTGCTAAGAAGGTTTTCACTGAAATACCCTATCTGGGAGGTGGTTCTTTTCCCTCCTTCTCAAAGTCATTGAGCATTCAGTGCCTCCCCCAACAAAGAGATCCATGTGGAAAAGCAGGTCACAAGGCTCGCTGCCTGAGGCAGTCTGTAAAATCACACTCCAGRGAAACTGCTCTGGACGCTAGGGAAAGGAAGGGGCAATCTCAGCCCAAAAGAAGGAGTGCGCTTGCCTGGCATGCGCGTGGCCTGGGTTCAATCCTCAGCACCACATACAAACAAAGATGTTGTGTCCGCTGATAACTAAAAAATAAATATTAAAAAATTATCTCTCTCTCTAAAAAAAAAAAAAAAAAAAAGAATAACTTCCCAAAAGCTTAGCCTGCTTGAAAACAGGCCTGAGAAAAATGGAGGGTCTTAAAAGGGCATTTCCAAAATAAAAGGGTGAGCTAGAGGTTGGGAAGATAGAGAGAGAATGGTGAGGATTAAAAAAAAAAAAAAAAAAAAAAAGACAATAGTCCCTCTATGTCTCCAATGCTTAATTGCTGAGAGTGAAGCAGTCACAACCCAGCAGCTGCCTTTCCAATGTCTCCAGTAAAGAGGACTGGCTGTTCTGTTATTCTGATAATGAGGGTACCATCCATTCCCACGGCCCTCAGAGCATCTTCTTTCATGGCTTTATATGATTCTGCTGTCTCCTGTGGCCTGGAGTGTCCACTTGTGTGTGGACACCATTACATGTGCCAGGTTCTCGTGCACACCACAAAGTCTATTTGTCACCTCAGATGGGAGCATGTGAATGGGACAGAATGATCATGGCAAATCCTCAAAATCTTTTAGTGGCTGGTACTGGGAAATTTTTTTTTTTAATGTTAAATCTCGTTTGAAATTTAGAGATTTTTTTCTTCTAGACATACTTAAATAACAAACTTCAAGATATCAGTCTCTTGAACTGAATGGGTGTTTACTCAAAACTTAACCAGCTTTAAAATGACCTTCTCATTTTGTCTCCATTTAACAGGCTTCCTTGGGGGGAAAGACATCTTTGAAGGCTTATTTCCCAGCTGAGTCTCTTAACTGTAGCTCTTGGCCACCATTTATTAAATTCCACGTATATCACTAACATTCCTGATCCTCCCCACACATTGTATGGTTGAAGTTATGACCATTTATTTTTTAAATTGAGGTTCAACTAGATGGAATAATTGCTAGGAATCACAAGGTTATGAGATGGGAAGGCTAAATTTTGAACCCATATCTCTGTCACTGAAACACACATGAAGGTTTCTCACTGAAGCAGTTTTCACCTTATGAACCTTATGTTTTCAAAGTTCCTGCTCCTGTTTTCAATTTCCTCACAAATAAGGCTATAAGGGAAACCAGAATGGGCAGTATCATCATCCCCATTCTATAGATGAGCACAGAGAAGCTCTGATCTCCTAGTGCTGGATTGAACCTGTGAATCATTCTGATGTGGCTGGTCATGAGGTTGACTCTTCTGGGGAAAACTTTTCCTCTACAAGGAAGTTCTTAGGGAAATGGTTGGTCAGGTGGGCCCCCATGCTTAAAGACAACAGCAATCAGGATGGGTAAGAACAGATTCATCAGGCCACCAAATGACTGAACAAAGAGGCATCATTTGTGTCTTGTGCTAAGTGTCAGGCATAGATTTTGAAATGAAAAAGGGAACACCGAGCACTCCTGGCCTTACTTTCCATCCCCTATCCCAACTAGGACCCTATCTGTGATTGATTCTGACAGCTAACTAAATGGTTAGAGCAATGTTTGTCACATGTTAATGTGAGACTCCTGTTAAAATGAAGGTTCTGATTCAACTGGTCTGGGTGGCAGCTAAAAGTCCACATTTCTAACAAGCTCCCAGGTGATGCCAAATCTATTGGTCCATGGATGACACTTTTAAGTATCAAGGCCTGACCTAACTAAAGGATTTTGTTAGAAATGCACTCTCAGGCTGCACCCCAGACCTAGTAGATCTAAATGTGCACTTTAACAAAGTCTTAGAAGAATATGCTTTGAGAAGCCTGGGGTTGGAGGGATGCCTGCCTGGAATAAACAAATAAACTTTCAGTTGTTTTGCTGACAGTTTGCTTCAACTCTTCAGTTGAATGTGCATATAATTGGTGGGAGGGGGTGAAGAGAGACTCACTGTTGTGAATACAACTGCCTTGGCAGATGGTGACAATGACCCCGTTTTTTGATCTGGATCGATTTGGATAGCACAGCACCCAGCACCTAGGAAGTCCCCAGTGTATACCTTTTCATAGTGCCAGATGGGAAGCAGCTGCTGCTACTGCAGTCGCATGTGTGGAAGTTTCTTGGGCTCAGTAAAATGTAGCACTAGCAACAACACAGTGATTATTCTCTGTCCTTATCTAGTATCCAGAAAGAAAATGAAAAGTTCTAAGTTTTGCACCCTAGGTACAAAATCTAAGCAAATTTTGTTAGGAATAGTACCTATTAAAAGGCTGATTCTCAAGAAACATTTGAAACTAATTGCTCATTCAAACAATAAACATCTACTAAAGACCTTTTATTTGCCAGGGTTAAGCACTAAGGACACAGGGTTAATTAATTAATATCTGGGTCCTGTCTATGAAGAGCTCATGATTTTGTGTCTAGAGTTGAGGTGAAGCTGAGATTTTGCTTTTTAATGCTATAATCTTAATGCACCAGCGTGGATACCATGGATATCACCAGCATGACTCTCTGGGCTTATTACTTGGGTTAGGAATGAAAAGGACAACA